CCGAGTTGCAACGCCAACAAGTATCAGGAGTAGTAGGGGAAAATTTGTGGAGAAGGTGCGGGCTTCTATACCATCTAGTGAGTAATTTGTAGCTGCATTCCTGAGATGAGCTGGACATAGAAAGTTTGTGGGTCAGAGAGTAGGCTTTGAGTTTGTCATGCTCAGAGAAGAAGCAGCCAAGGTCTCTTTCCCATGCCTGCATGAAAGTTGGGACAGAGTCACCTGTGAGGGTCAGAATCAGTTTGTATAGGGTAGATAGTGTGCGTAGGGGGCCAAAGGGTTGATCACAAATTGATTCAAAGGCCGTGAGGGTTCTGTGTGGGTTAGAGTGTTTGCAGATTGAGAGGTAAAAGTCCCTAAGTTGGAAGTAACTCAACCAGTTACCAGATCGTTTTTCGCCTGGAACGGTGAGGGAGATAAAGGGTTTTAGACCTGTAGGGGTGAGAGCTGATGATAAGTAAGCATGAGAGCTAGTGGACCAGTGGAGGAAGGAGGGTCTAGAACATCTGAGAGTAGTCAGTATGGAAGAGGTAAGCAGGAGGCAGAGAGCAGGCAATATGGAAAAGAGAAGTAAGAGACTGGGAGTAGGCTAGGCTGTATGCAAGGGAGGAGTAAAGGCTGAGACGAAATGGCACAAAAGAGAGAAGTAGGAAGCAGGGAGCAGGCAGTATAAAAGAGAAATAGGAGGCAGGAAGCAGACAGTATGGAAGAAAGAGGTAGGAGGCTGGGGCAGACAGTATGGAAGAGAGCGTTAGGGAACAGGAAAGAGGCAGTAAGGAAGAAGAGAGATGTAAAAGAGACCATAGGAAATCTACAGATTTTCTATGGTCAGATGGAAAAAGTGCAACAGATTCCTCCATCTACGCTAAACTGTGTGGATGGAGGAGTCTCCCACTGGGCCAAGCTTCAGTATCTTGCTAGTCATCCCTGCTGGCTCTCAAGATACCTGAACAATGCCTGCATCCAATCAGATTGTTCAGGTATTTTGAGAGCCAGCGGGACAGGCTAGCAAGATACTGAAGCTTGGCCCACTGGGAGATTCCTCCATCCACACAGTTTAGCATAGATGGAGGGATCTGATGCACTTTTTCCATCTGACCATAGAAAATCTGCAGATAATCTATAGATGTATGGTCAGCTTTAAGAGTGATGATAGGGAGACTATCATCTGCTGTCTATTGTTACTTTTTACCTGGCCATTGACATTAGAAGGTGATCATTTGTACAGTATATTCACAAGTCAGCCACTTGACTGTTAGTACCAGCTGTATTTGCATGTTTCTATATTGAGTAGACAACCCTGACACACCTTTAAAGGAGAACTATGAGGTGAGTGCTTTTCACTCACCTCATAGTTTTAGCCGACCTGTGACAATGAAACTGTCACAGGTCGGCTCAGTAGATCGGGAGGTGAGCGAACACATACCGGCGTTCGCTCACCTCTCGATCCTGTCACGGCTCTCTGCCGTGACAGGGGAGGGGCTGGATTCCCCTCTCCCCGCTCCGATCCGCCAGCGCTGACTGGTGGAACGGACGGGGGAGGGGGCGGGTACAGCTGGCTCTGCCTCTAGATAGGCAGAGCCAGCTGTCAGTCACGCAGCTGGGCGGATCCAGACATAATTGTCGGGATCCGCTTCAGCTGCGGCGTCTCAGTATACCGCGAGCAGCAGCTCAGTATACCGCGAGTCTAGGGTGACTGGAGGACGCTAGTTTGTGTCCTCCCGTTACCCTAAGGTGAACTATGGGGAAAAGCCTTAACCCCATAGTTCTCCTTTAAATCACCATAGACATTAGATGATTGTGTTCCAGCCTGGTCCATTTCATTGGATACATACTAAATGCATGTAGTTTAATATCCACGTGCATGTTTCATTTAAATTTAGACACATTTTACATGTATTTTGAAAGTTGCCTTTCAATCGCTTTAAACAAGAAAATGCAGATCAACACACTAACAATTGCAGCAACCAGGACATTTTTTAGTGCTTTCCAAGGGGATAGGCCATACTGAAAACAATGGATTTCATCACATTCTTTATTTTTACCAGTATTGGAGAATGCTGCAAAACACATAACACTGCACCTAGTGTGTACAAGCCCTTTACAGGACAGAGTCCCATTGCTGGCCACACACATGATTATTTAGATGCAGTCAGAATTTCTAACTGCATTTAGGGTTATTTCTTTTCGATGGTGTCACACATGCTTTTTTTACAGTTGGACCTAAATTAACAAGGTAATTAAACAGCTTTCCAGTCATCTGTCAATGGAATGGTTTTCTTGCAGGTTTAGAAGGTTGAATACAAAAAACATCATTTGATTACACCACACACATCATGACCCAATCCAAATTGACAGATAAATGTTGCAAACTGTCCACCTGTTTCTGTTTTAATCTGGCCTCAAAAACATTAGTTCAAAGTGACTGGCGTGCCAACATACAGATCAGTTATTCATAGATCAGATTATCGAATGATTGAATTCAAATCGAATAGGTATCATAAGGTACCCACAGACATAGTGATCCTTTCCTGAATCAGCCAAAAATTATTTATTGTTTATGAGCACCTAAGCTAGAGTGAAAATAATAATAATAATAATAGTAGTATGTTATATGTGATATGACAATATGGACACATATTAACATCACCCTGCATAGTTAGCTTTATATGCGAGTCACCCTAAATTTCAGACGCCTTGCCTTTAAACAGTGATTTGTAATTTCTAGTTTCTTCCATTTTGTATCTGAAACACTTTAAACTCAGTCACCCAGCAAAGAGTTAATGTTCCCATCTTTTCACCACCCTTCCACCTCTCTCCTGAAGCATTCAGAATGCTATAACTGGGTTGTCAGCAGTGCAGGATGATTATCCCAATTAACTTGGAAATAATTAAGCGGCAAGCTTATGAGATCCTGTAATATCTTAACTACCAATGTAGGACAGTGAGAAAGGGCTCTTTTGAGAGTGCCACTCTCGTGACATTGATGGCCTGCAGAAGATGGTCCAGAACTTTCCAGTTACAAAGGGGTTAATACTTTTGAACCTCTCTACATAACTATGACCTGCCATAGGATGTTTCCCAATTCTGCAGGCTCTTTGGGGTTAAATTACTTTTTTTCCCTTAAAGAGGCAACCTAAAAATAACCCATTGAGACAGAGGGTGTTATTGCTGAGCAAATTCTCATTAACTAAAAAACGTGCTTGGAGGAAAGAAAGAGATAAGGTAAATGTGACCCCCCCCCTGCCCCCCTTACAGACAGTTAAGAAAGAGCTAAAATAAATCTGACTTTTCCCCCTTAAAGACAGTTAAAGTGACACTAAACTTGGGAAATAAATCCTAAAAATGCATTCAAGTACCTTAACTATGAACAAAAATGTATCTTATTTGAGCATCCCTCAGCTGTAGATCCTCAAATCATCTCTGAATTTGTCCTGACACTGTCTTCCTTCTGGAGGGTGGCTACATTTGTTCCCCATGGTCCCTGTGTGTGTTGTAAAGTAGCCACCGCTCTAAACTAATTTCTGTGATAGACTACAACCTTAATGTAAATTAAATGTGACAATTAAATGTGAGATTGTATTCCATCACGTGAGCAAGCTTGGAGCGGTGGCTACTTTACAACACACATAGGGACCATGGGGAACAAAAGTAACCAACCTCCAGAAGGATGGACAGTGCCAGCACCAATTCAGAGATCATTTGAGGATCTACAGCCGAGTGATGCACAAATACGCTACATTTTTTTTCTAGTTAAGGTATGTAGATGCGTTTTTAGGATTTAACTCCTGAGTTTAGTGTCTCTTTAAGAAGGAGCTAAGATAAATTTGATCCCCCCCCCCG